TCAACTCAGATCATTCCCTAAACAATTTTTCCACCTACTGCCTGTCAGTCCAGCAAATAAACAGTTACCAAAACACCACCTCTCCCCTTACTGTAGCACTTTAAAAGACAAAATAACATTCTGCATTCTAATTATTTTATAATTCCTTTGATTGTTGTTTATTCAGTGTGCAAATCGTGTGCAACTCCCACATGCCTAGTGTTAAAGGAAGTACAATTCTAAATGGTTAAAAATTTGCAGAAAAAATAAAGTCAAGGTAGCTTGTTTAAAAGCCAGTCTCTGACAGTTTCTGAGAAAAGTTCCCACCTGAGTGTCCTGCAGCAATACGAACTTTAGAATGCAATCTCTGAGTCCTTGACCATGAAACCTTTGGATCATCTGACCCAGTGAAATGACTTTTTGTGCAGAGGCCTTTAAAGTAAGATCTAGAGAGGAACTCAACATCAGATCCCTCTCAAGGCTGGAATTAGCAGGCTCAGTCCCTGTGGGACATGGAAGATGCACAGGATGAAAAAGCCCCATGCCCCAAGCCCTGCGCACTGGGCAGGGCCCCTCCAATTAGCAGCTGGCAGACAATGCAAGGAAGGCTGTGAATGAACTTCTGCACCCTCTGTGGAGCCCACAGTTCTGCAGCAGATTCTTGGGAATGCGTTTTTATTTTTTTTTCCCTTTAATTCAGAGTCTGTAAAGAAGAAGGAATTTATATTATCAGTTATTGGGAAGCAGAAAAACCTAGTGCCGCTTAAATCAGTGCTGCAGCCTAAGTTTGCAGTGCTTGTGTCCCCCATTTTGCTCCTACAGTCTAACCCAGAGGAATTAGTTCAAAAGCCCAGTTGAACCATCTGCTCATGAGGTGCTGGATTTGGGTCTTCTCAGCCTTTGGAGTCTGCCTTCCCCGTTTCATGGGCAAGTGCTTCAACGAAACTGGGGTAACAGCAAAGACAGTGGCTATGCCACTAATGCCACTTTCTCTGCCAATGACTTTTAAAAGGTAAACATTGTCTTCTTTCCAATTTTTTCAAAGGGCAGTTATAAGCTCTGCTCTCAGGAGAGGGCACTAAACCCTGGATTAACACAGGAAAATGTGCTTTTGCTCATCCTAGATAAGGTGTCAGACTTGCAGAAAGGAGAGACAGGACTGTGGCTGTGTATTTGTGCCTGGCATTTCTTTTTGTTTCTCCACAGGCCTCTTCTCTCTCGGCGTGGGAGATGTCCAGACAAGCATTTTGAGGTGTATAATTCTCAGCAGGCCCCACCTGGGGAGCCTTAATGTTGAACTTAGAATTTTACATTTTATTCTGGTGACCAAACTCCTAAATTCAAGCTATTAAATTGCAAAGTCTTCTTACTAGATCTAGTCACAGCCTCCAAGCCTATTTTGCTGGTCTACTCCAGAAAATAGCAGTCACAGCAAAAAAACACAGCAGCAAATGTTCTTTGTGAACAGGTTTTAAATTAAAGCCATTCTGCATGCTAACTACATTATCTGTCTTTTAGAAATATTATTAGAGCAATACAAAAAAATGTACAGAAGAATCTTTCTTTACCAGCCCTCCATGGAAAACACACTTACTGCTGCTTTGATAAGGGGAATTTCTCCTTGCTTTTTATAAAAATTGTGTGGTAGTTGATCTGTCATAAACTGTTGCTCAGCATTGATGTACAACATTTCTACTGGAGGTGACAGAATGTTTAATGTTAGATGTTTTTTTGCTAACCTCATCAAGGTTATGCTTCTTACTTTTAATGTGCATTTGAAATACATCTTCTAATACCCTTAAAAAAAAGAAAAAGGAACATCAGTGTAAAAAAACTCAACTGTTCAAGGTCCATATACTTTCAAAATGAAAAATAACTACTCAGCCTGTTTTTCAGATCACTTAAAATGCATCCAAACCTTCCACTTTTGCTCCATCCCCTCCCCATCTGCCTGTAAGTGGATTTAAAAACTAAAATCTTAAACATTTTAAGGTTGTTGGATATTGTCATTCCAAGTGCATGCTGTTTGTCAGGAACTATGTTAGGGAAAGACTTTTGCGTATATAATTCTAATTTCTTCTTCTACTTTTAATAAAAAATATAGGAGTACTGGTGCTCCCCATCACAATGTAGTAGTAGTCCCCCTCTGTGTTTTGGTGGGGCCTAAGTCTCTCTTGCTGCTGCCAAGTTCTGTCCCACCACATTGACTGAGTGAGACTGCTGGGGGTACTGGGGTACAAGCAGCCTCCTAGATTGATTTATAGCTCTTGCTCCTTTGTTCAATATATGGTGCTAGTCAAAGAGAGCTTTGAAACTGTCTCTAGCCAGCACTTTTTAGACTCTGAAGGTCATTTGCATGATCTGTTTGTTCTTGGGTCTCCTTTTCAGTTACTTCTTAGGGAAACACTGAAGGTTGGACTTTCGTGCTCATAGTTTGTTTAATAGGTGTACCAGGGATAGGGAGATGTCTTCAGAAAGTTCTCTCAATAACTTTTTTAGAGCCATGATCAGCTATGAGCAAAAGATGTGTGAATTGGTAAAAATAAAGACCTATCTGACTAAGGAAATTAGGTCTCCAGGTTCTGCAGTCATAATTAATCTAACCCAATTTGCATTTTGCATTTCAGCATGTTGCATTTGCAGCAATGTCTGCAATGAGCTGGAGGGCTCAGCAGAGCTGGTTTGGTTTTATTCTGTATATTAGAATTGAGAGGGCATTCATGATTTTATCTGTAGAATACTGGCCTAAATAAATGGAAACTTTTAAATGTGTCTATAATATTAATCCTGCAGGGTAGCTAAGGCCACTAGCTGTGTCTCTTTCTCAGACATAAAACCTGTTTAGAAATTTATCTTGTGCTTTAAAATGAAAGGATATTATTGATTGTTCACTTTTCTTCTGCAGAACAAGTAAGTTCTGTTATTAGAGACAACCCAAGAACAGCAATGGATGATTTTTCACATATTTTTAGTAAACTTTATTTTTGAGGGAGGAGTACAAAGCATCTAAACCACCTCCCTCTAAAGCCAGCAGAGTAGTCCTCTCACCCTGCAGGCCTGAGCAGGGACACAAACACACAGACCCTTAACTTTTTTTTACTGCATCTATGGGCTGGCCCCAAGCTTTGTAACCTTTTCAGTGTAAATGAACTGGTGTCTTTTCAGTGTAAATGAATTGGTGTCTTTCAAATCTGCTAGTGTTCCTCCCAGTGAATCCAGAAAATTCACTTCTAATTTGGACCTTACCTTTGTCTGAAAACTAAAACACCTAGAAGGAAGGAGGGGAACTCCTACTTTTAACTGATTACTCAGAAAACAAATTAACAACTTGTGTCATTGGGCACTACTTTTTTTTTTTTTTTTTTTTTTTTTTTTTTTTTTTTTTTTTTTTTTTAAGTGGCTTAAGATTTTAACTCAAATCCTCTAAATTGAAAAAGAAATACCTTGGTATCAGGCTGAGGTGGATTGATCTGGGGGGGTTGGCACCTATTTAGCATCAAGCACTTAAAATCTTAAACATTGAAATAAAATCCTCTATCAAAGGAGGAGTTTCTTTCAGTTAAGATGCAGACAAGAAATTGCTGAGGAAAGGGGCACCCAGTTTTGTCACTTGTAACAGGGCTATAAAGGGCTCTGTGGTTTATCACAGCTCTCTAAATATTAGAAATGTGTTGATTTACTCTTAGAATGTACAGAACATGAGCCCAGAAAAAGTTGCTGCATTTAGACACCAGCAGCATGAGGTGTGTTTGGCTCTAACATTTGTGCGGATCATTAACTTGAGGCTGCACATATCCTAAAGAAAGCAATCACTGCATTTATTTATTTTGCTTTGATAGGAAGGAGGAAGAACTCTAAACACAGACTTGCTCTGATGAACTTTGCTAGAGAAGACTCCATGGGTTGCTACCTCAATTTTAGCTGGGAACTGGAATGAGACAGTTGTAACAATAAAATCCATCACCATCCTGTATAAAGGAATGAGTTTGAGAACAGGGTTAGCAAATATGATATTTCCATGTTTCTGCTAGAAGTCAGTGGGAAATATGAGACTGGCTGAGAGTATTTTCTGTTCAGCTACTCAATTTAGATCATGACTCCCATACAGTGCAGTCACAAAAGTGTTCATCCAATTAAATTGCATCAGAGTTACACTTTGCTGTCATTAAAACCACCAATTCTTTACACTGATTTGTCAAAATTTTGTTTCTCAAAGAATTAAATATTAAAGTCAAAACACTTACTCTTTTTGATAACAACTTCTAATCAAAATATCATTCGTAAGGTCCTGGAGAACACAAAGGTACTCTTCTTCTCTATATAAACACACAAATTGTCAGCGTGTTTCTTTAACATACACAGAATACAAACAAGGTTTTACAATACCAACTAAAGAGGCAGTGATTTTAGAGTAATTAAACAAAAGTGCTTAATCTATTTACTAGTCTTCATTTTTTTACTAATCAGTCTTATAAGTTTTAAAATTACTGATTTTGACAATTCTGTTGATCAACTCCCAAAATATTCTAATCCATTATTTTCATTAATCTAAAAGATTTATGCCTTTTGTGAATAATCAGTTAAAAATGGTTCCAGTGAACAAAGGTACCAGAAGATAATTTTAATATTGTTTATTTATTAGTCTTAACATATTTAGCTTGCCTACAGTAAAAGGCAAGCCAAATATGTTAAGACCAATACAGTAAGACTATGACCCAGAAAAGCTCTTCCAACTTTCTGATCCCACATTTCCCAAGCAAGTAGCTGAATCCTTTATTCCCAATATAATCCCTCTACTCACTGCACACAGCCATTGGTAATAGGCTCTTGTGTCATGTTTTCAATTTTCCACTAGATTTCTACTTTAATATTTTGATGTGAAGCTTAGAAATAGTTAAAAGGGACAAACAAATATATGACTTACACCTTTTTAAGTTGTAATCCTGGAGAAAGTGGCATTTTAGAATCATGACTCCACTATTCATGTTCTGCCACAAAAATGAAAAGGAGAAAAAAGTAAATGATTTAATTATCTTTGTATTCTCATTATTTATTTCCATTCAGAGTACCAGGGGAAATAATCTGATACCACAACATATCAAAATCACAACTATATCACATTCCAGCTCATGTGAAATAAACGTCTTGGGTGTCAATTACTCATGTAAATAATGAACAAGTATTATTATTGGGTAGGTTCATGGTAACAGAAATGGAAATCAGCTTGTATAACCCAAGAGAAAGGAAGCAAATATAAAGAAAATCAGAATTTCTGTCAAAATTGAAAATCTTTACAGATTCCATACAAATACAACAACATTTTATTTAGAAGGACATGCAAAATACATTTGTGTTTTTGAAAGAGGACTTAGAAAATCAGATCAGGTCATCAAATGAAAGTAGGAGCTACTCCAGTTAACATTGTTAAATGAAGGTTTGGTGGTTGAAATAAGGACTGAAATAGCACTATCAAGCACAAAGCTATCACATATCATGCCTGTGGTTCCTTGGCTGTGTAGAAATTCAGAATGGCTTCTGTAAAGAGGCACGTGGGACAAGGAATTATACAAAACTCCTCTATCGTGCATGGCTTTGGCTATTGTTAAGCAACCCTTATTTTTAAGTGCACTAAAATTTCCTAAATCAATTCACCATTCATCTTGAAAATCCAGATGACTAATGGAGTGCAACTTACAGACAAAATCTTGCATGACATGTGACCATAGTCAGAGAGAATAGCACTTTGTCTGGACATTTCTGGGCTCCAAGTTATTATTTGGATGGAATGAAAGGCTGTAAACCAACCAAAAAGCAAGAGTTCAGTCAAGTAGGAAAGAACTCTGCCCTCAGAAGAGCAGATTTGTGTTGGGATACACTGTTTTCCACATCACAGTGCCTCATTTGTGTTTCTCAAAGACTTTAGCTGCTCCTGTTTTATTCACAGATCCCTGTTGACCCCTTCTAGCCCTGCATGCTGGATTTCTCAGTTACAACCTTAGTCATTTCTCTTAAGGTAGTTGAGTATTTTGGTTTTGCTCTTAACAAAGATTCCCCAAAGCCACTGACTCCATTATCCGTTTAATTTTCACATAACCAGTACAACTTTTGTACATGAGTAGTGTTTTCTGCCCTTTTTTCTTTGTAACTCACTGGATACACTAACCTCAACTGGCTGCTGAGAAAAGTTAGCAGAATGTGGTCTCATATGTTCATCCTCTAAAAATCTGAAAGATTAAAAGCACAGTGACAAACAGCTATGATTCAAATAATGTGTTTGAAAAAAAATTGTGTAACTTTTTGCATTGATGTCAGCACCTGTGTAAGCCTTCTCTCTCTTTGCTGTTGATGCCTGCTGATTTAATTGATGGTCTGCCTGGGGAGGAGCTCCTTTTTCTGGAAGGAGGATTATAATACTTATATTTTACAAGAAAAGGTCGATGTGATGTCTTCAAGATCTGAGAGGTAAAACACTGCTTCTTTTCTGCAAAGTAAATTGCATGTTTGTCAAGGAAGTCCCCAGAGTAGATTTTATGAACAGAGTTCTGAAATGCCTTCTTCCTGTTGTGACTGCCCAAAGGCATGTGAGGCTGCAGGAGGGGTGAAGCAGATGATCTGTGGGCACTAGGACTGTGAACTGATGTTGGTTGGAGACAAAGCACACAGAGCAGTATTTGGGACAGCCTTTCTTGCAGCAGGACCCAGCCTCGGAGTCCTTTAAGTGAACTTCTGCCTGATACAGAGAGGGGTTGCTCTCTCTTTGTCCTGGGATAGTTGCTCTGACCAGACAGTGGGTGACCATTTTCCAACAGTGCCCAATTGATCTGAAAGTTAAACAAAACAGACAGAAAAATTACATGAGAATTTGCTACAGACACTATTTCCAACAAAGTAGCTCACACAGGAAGAATTTTAAGAAACTGTTTTCAAACTGGCTCAATTGGTTTTTAGAAGTGTAACTGACTGGGAACCACAGTTGATGGCTAGTTAGTAAAGCCATCCTGCCACTGTGCTTGAGGTAATTAACCAGTCCTTTACCTAGTTTCCTTTTCCTTCCTTCTCTTTACTAAGCTGAGTTTCTAATAACAAGTAGTCTTGGGAAATTACAGAAATCCCATTTTCCTTGCCAGGGCTGACAGAAGGAGAACAGGAGACTTTTTTCTTCCTTGGGCATTGCCTATGGAATTGATGACTCCATGGCAGTCTCACAGTCCTCTATCAATGGTATCTTCTATTCTCTCTCCTTGTGTGCCTGTGCAGGTATGAGCACAGCATCATCTCATGAGTTTGAAGTCAAATAGAGCCACTGCTTTCCTTACAAATACCACAGGTGAAAGTGTGATCTACTGCTGTTCATCTCACTAGAAGAAAGATTTTGCAAAACAAAATAATGCATGTTTGAACTGGATTATGTTTGTAAACAATATAATTGGAAATCTAATGATAAGCCCCCTATGATTCTCAAATTATAGAAATTCTTAAAACCTAAATATAGTCTGCTGAGGAATTTCTGCCTGAGAGAGACACTGGACTACAGTAGGATGAAATGTTTTGCAAGAATTTGTGGAGGTGAGGTTCACTAGCAGAATTTGGTGAAGAAAAGTCTACTCACATTAATATGGGGTTGTCCAGTTTCTGGTCTCTGGCAGAATATATAATTAGGGTCTTGGTTTTACCAATAAGTAATGTTCTGAAATTCAGGGAATACTGTAAAACAATGCTAAGTATGGGAATTCACAGAAAAATATTGGAATATCATTCTCTTGAAAACACTGTGTTCTCTTGAACATATTTTAGTCATACATACACACAGCCATAACATTGATACCTGTCACTGTAGGCCATGTAGGGACAGAAACAATTCAGTGGGAGGATAGGTGCCAGGCAGCAAAACTGAGAGTCAAATATTACCTCTGCTTGACTAGACTATAAAAAGGCACACTGAACAAACCTGCACATAACTGCTGTGCTACAGGCACTCCCCACACCACAGAGCACATCTAACTAAGGGGGAAATGGGCTTTTTTATGTGGCTCAGTGCCATCTGTGTGACAGGTCTTACGCTGTCAGAATATCACATACCTTCTGCTGGTTTGGAGAAATACTTCTGCACTTGACTGGTGAGGCAGGAAGACCACGTACAAGATCCTTCTTGTATTTATCAAGGGTTTGAATTATTCTGTCTCTTTTCTGCTGGTCCTTGTCTGTACATGTAAATATGAAAATACAGTCTGTTCCTGTTAAGTCAATGATCAGGTCATAGAGTATTGCTCTTCATTATTATTTTTGCCCACTAAAGACTATCCTGTCTCCTCCTCCAAGTAGAGATCAGAGAAGGCAATCATTTTACCTTTTACAGGTGGCTCTTGCTGCTTCTGTGCTCAGCACACATCTGAATTTGAAATCAGTGTGAGCCAGGAGTCCTTTACATCACTCATTACAGTGAGTAATGAGCTACTAGAGGGATAAGAGAGCATGGTAACATTTTGTTCCCACCCTGTGCATCCTTTCCCCTCTCCTAGACAGAAGCTGAGACAGGTCAGAAAAGAAGAGCTGAGAGAGTTGAGTAAGGATTCAAGTCTACATACTAAGAATTGAGTGACCAAAGTCAGGCTGCCACTGTGTCTGTGCAGGCAGCAATCCCAACAAAGTCCTCATTCTGCATGGTCAAACTCAGCCTGAGAAGAGTAGGGTGACCCTCTTGTTAGTCCCTCACACACAAAATGAACAGAAACAGACTCAGCCCTTTGGTACTGGCACAGAAGCTGTGCATGACCCAAACTTGAGTGTCCAAGGCCAGGTTGGGTGGGGCTCTGAGTAACGTGATCTAATGCAAGGGGTCCCTGGCAATGGAGGGGGATGGGAACCAGATGATCTTTAAGATCCCTGTCAACCCAAACCATTAGATGATTTCATGACCTTCTGATCTTCCTGAAAATATGCAAGTGAGAGTAGAAATAAGAATGCTTATTCTTATAATCATGACTGCTTAATATATATTACTTATTAAATTATATCATGTGCTATGTAATATATAGCATATTATATAATTTAATATGTAATATATATTAAGTATTATAAAATAATAAAAAAATACAGGGGTTGGAAGCAGATATGAGTTACCCAAGACTATAGAAGCCCACAGGGGCATATTTATGTATAATGAAAATCTTCTCACAATTCACCATCCTTTGTCAGAACTTTACTTTTAACAATGCAAACAGGAATAATGCATGACCAAAATTTTCAACTCTTTTTACCTGCTGTGTTCCTTCCACGCACAGCTCTGAGAGAAAGTGTATGTTGATGGGCAACAACACATTTCTTTTTATTGAGATATGTTTAAAAAATACCCTCCCCTCCCTCCAGTTCTAGCTGAACCTAGGGACTCACACAAAATATTGATAAAGAGGGGTTCACTGAGGTCCTGCGAGCTACATATGACTTTTTGAGTAAAAAATGCAGCTCTGTCAGAATTTCCTCATCCTATGGAGCTCTGGCACATGGTAGCACATGCCAATACTGCCAGGCAGGCCAGCAAAGAAATATGTCCTGCTCACTCCCCTTTGGGTGCAGCAGCAGAGGCTACTTGAAGATATAATTCTGGAGAGCTGGAAAGGCTTCAGGAGGGCTGGTGAAATGTGGCTTCTGTAGTGTGATGATGCTTCGATTAACAATGACTTATTCCTGTCAAAATTCACAACTGGTTCGTGATCAGCCCAGGGTCCCCTTACATTGCTACTGTGGCAAGAGACTAAAACTTGTCCTCACAATAAGTTGCAATTTTTTTGCTAATGAGAAGAAACAGCTCCCCCTCTGAAGGGGTGCAATTGCAGACCATCTCACTAATGATGTCACAGAATAACACCTGAAACCTGGCAAAGCAGCACTTACTAAACATGTTTTTTTTTTTGAGAGGAGAGACGCACTAACCTGTATTTAGTATTGAAAATTGCTGAATTAATAGGAGGGTGACTGGGTGTTAGCCTTACAGTACTATTTCTTTTGGAAAAGAAACAGCTGAATCTTATTTATAAACAAAACATATACTTCTCTAAATGTTCCTCCAAAGTTTGTGAGGGGTCTTATATGGGGCACATCATCCCACAGTCTAAGATGGTCTCAAAGCTGTGTCCTTTTCATTGAAAAAACCAGATTTCACTGACAACTAAGACCAATATACAGCCTCTCATGACAGGTAATCTGGCTTTCCAGTCTTGCATAGACATGAATTCATAGCATCATCCTATTAAGAAAAACATGTTGACAATGCTAAATCCTATTTGGATGATTGGGAAGCAGGATTATACAACTCACTGGAACAAATAACAAAATGTACTTGCTCAATCGCGCTTATGCAGAGATTAATACCTTCCTCATTCATCTTGGTTTTCATGGGCCCAATCAAAGGAACCCCCCCTTCTGATTAAAGACTTTGCATTCTGCAGTCATGTGAAAAATAGCAGGCAAGGCAGCTTATGTAGTGTCTGTACAACAGTGCCACCAGTCAGGGTACCAGGTTTCTTTCAGGACCGTGCCAATGACGTGGGAGGCCTCAGGAAAAAGTGACATCCATGCCACTCCTCCCTTCTGTCTGGGCACAGGTGAGGCAGGACAACTGAGCCTTCAGCAAGCCTTGCCAAGGGCAATCAAATAAAATGTTCCAGGTCAAAGAGCTACAGGTTTTAAACAGCTTTTGTCTAGTATTTCACTGATATTTTGACTATAAATATACGTTATAAACACGCCACATGGCAGCAAGCCTATTCAAATACATCCTATTCCAGTGCATTATAGTTTTATGTTTCGAGAAATTAGCAAAAGCTCCTGGGCAGAAAGTCTCATAGCAACTCTCCCTCCCCTTTCCTGATAGTTTCATGTGCTGGGTTTTGTATGTGTCACAGCCAGGTGAGGCTGACTGAGAGGTCCTGCAGCAGATCCTGGTTTGCTGACATGTCTGCTAAGGGATTTAACTGCCTAAACAATTTCCAGTCCTGCTCTCCAGTTTCTCTGTAGGAGAAAACAACCACCTGCCCATTATGTCTTTCTCCAAATGATTTTTAAAAACATCAGTGACCAAGAACAAAATAGAAAATAGCATGCAAACTTTTCATGATGCTTGGGGTTTCTTTCTTTTTCTTTTAGAAAAGCAAAAATAAGCCTTCCCTTGCCTACTGATCTCATGTCTTAGCTGAAGAGTTTAAGAACTGGCTCAACTGCTTCCCAGGGAATAGATTCATGTAGTGTGGCCAGTGCAGGAGTTATTTAGGTAAATGTATTTAACAGCCTTTCTCTTAAGCTCATTTGCTTGCTAATTTATTGTCCTGCCTACTGTGGCAGGCGTTAATTTACCAGTGCTAGAGTACAATTTCACTGGTACTTGTACTGGCATCTATACTTGTGAATGTGACAAAAACAGAGAAGGGATTTGGTTGTAGTCTGGTCCCTGTAAACCACAGGAAGATCAGATGCTCTAGCCCCCACTTTGTTTTCCTGGCAGTTCTTGTTGCTTGCCATTTGATAAAACACCTTGTCTTTCCTTTGCTGCTGTGTGGAAGTCCTGTGTACAAAATGAGTGGGCACTAACTTACCCAATATAGTAGAAGCAGCTTAGCTGATGATATTGGTTGATCTGAAGGAAACAAAAGAAATCTGAATGTGGGGTGGTTTTTTTTTGTTTGTTTTTTGTGTTGTTTTTTTTTTTGTTGTTGTTGTTGTTGTTGTTTTTTTTTTGTTTGTTTTTTTTTTTTTTAATCCAGTGCCTTTTGGGTCTACTTATCTTTATCTTACATAGGAAGAAGGGTCATTAAACACCTTAGATTGCATGCACAGCTGCTTCTTAAAAGAGAACGTTATTTTTGGGTCTAAGGCAGAACATTATGGCCCAAGTATGAACATGGGATATAAAACCAGAAGAGGCTTCCCTGAAGTTGTTTATCAGATGTTACAAAACTCAGTGGTTATAGTTAGAAATAGAATCTACACCTTGGCTCATGCCTTCATTCTTGACTCAGAGTGGGAGTTCTTGTTTAATTCCTACCAAGAGTTTTAAAACAGTTGGCTGATGTTTAATTCCTAATGACTTTTGAAAAAACAAGGAAGTTTCAAAGGACTGTGGGGAAAAGAGAAAAGCAAAAGTGGTAAATGAACTCCAGGCTAGTATCTGTCCTGAGCATAACAACTGAAAGGCTGTTACAAGACTCATTTGAAGTAAGTAATGTGAGCAGCACCAGTCAAAAACACAGAACCATGCTAACTAGATAAGAAAAAAAGATCTTTTGATTGTGGTTGCATGAGATAAAGGTGTTTGTTTAAAAGACTTCTGTAAGCTCCCTGGCTTTGTTCTGTATGTTCTGCATGGCATTTTGACTCAGAAACTAGAACAAAATTACAGGTTTTTACAAAATGGTTAATTGGGAGATATGAAAATGGAATCAGCAGGTGTTTCTAAAACAAAGATCACTTTTGATATTGTAATATTAAATTATTTCTTTCTTTTATCTGAAAGAAAACATAAAATCATTTCTCATAAAGCTTGAATAACTATAGTTTGGGAACTCATGAATAATAAAGGGGTGGTTTACTGTAACAAAGTGATGTGCATTGCTCAGATGTAGGGAAGCAGCATACTTTTCAGCATGGATAATTGAACATCTCCACTGTGAAAAGGCAGGCTCTTACCTAAAGAAGGAGAGTCTTATCTGGGAATGAGTGTCACTAAAAAAAACATCCATACTTTCTTCTAGACAAACAGCTACCTGTAATTTCCCACAGCAACAGTGGAGCCAAAATTAGTGTAATACCTCTGCCCATAAGGAGTGGAAACCTCATGTGTAAGTACAGGAAGCCTTTACTTCTTCTTACTCAACAGCTGTTGCTAGAATTATACATCCTACTTTAAAACCTTATTACTCAAGAAGCATTTACATATTGGGAAGGATACAGAGAAGATCCATAAGTATGATGAACTCTGGAAAACACTCTCCAAAGAGTTAGATTTAAGGAGCTGAATGTATTTATTTGTGCAAAAGGATGGTTAAGAAGTAACTTTATTCCTGCTTAGGACTACCTATAAACAGAGCAGAAATTAAACAATACAAATGCATCCTAAAGGAGAGCTATGTATTCCTCATTGCAAGGTAAGTTAGCCTTTGGAACACTTTAATGAGAAGTGGGATGTAAATAAACAAGGTTTGGACATCTG